GACCCTCACTTGCCATTCTGGCGACTGTCCTTTTTGTGTTGCACCCCGACTCCTCTACTGTGGGCTTCAAGTTTTGTTTTCAAAAAAGATACTGAGGATTCCTGAGAGCAGCTAGGAAATAAAGTGGCTCCCTTTATTAAAGTAGCTCTCCAGGACAGAATAGGAGCTTTGAAGTCTTTAAACCTGGGGAGGGGCTCTGCACAAGTTCTCATGCAAACTAGTGGCTCTGGAGTGCCCCTTGCCTCGTCTGGAAAGGAAGAAATAGCAAACCAGGCCTGTCCAGAGAATTGGAGATCATGTGTGTGAAATATCTGGTAGTTTGTCCGGATGGAGAGGTGGGGGAGGGACAGACCTCAGCCTCTTAACCTGGGACTTGAGGTGTGATCCAGATCCCATCTCTCAGGATCCTAGGATCAAATCATGGATGGTGGAAGTTTTGACACTGTCAGGTTTAGTGTGAAAAGGTGGTGAGGGAGGTGAGTGGGGCTCACTTGCCATTAAGATTCTCTTTCAAGTTCATCTTGTAATCCACAGACCATCTGTGACAATGAATCGACTGAATTATGATGAGAGGGTGGAGAAAGAAACAACTTCACTCAAATAGAACTGTTCAGGGTGAAATGTGGTTTTTAAAAAATTTTGTTTTGTTTTGTTTTTGTGCTGGGAATCAAACCCAGGGCCCTTCTCCACTGAGCAGCATCCCAGCCCTTTTTATTTTTGAGACAGGATCCTGTTAAACTGCTGAGATTCTCACTTAATGCTGAGGCTGGCCTGGATTGCCATCCTCCTGCCTCAGCCTCCTCTGACACTGTGATGCCTGAGCCACTGAGCTCCGCATGTTGCTCAGTTCATAACTTAACCGCAAGACCTTTCCTTCTTAGAGGTGGAGGTCGCTTATTCATGCCACACATTTGACTGGCCTGCTGGGTTCCAAGGGGTGTTTTGTTTTAGGCTCTGGCTATTGCATCAAGAGGGCAAGACAAAAAACCCCCGTCTTCCTGGGACTTGCATTTTAGAGGAAGGACACAGGCAATCAGTGTGAAAGTACATAAATAGAGGAGATAATTTCAGGGATGTGTGCAATTGAAAGAGGGTAACAGGTCAGAGAGAAATTGGAGGAGGGATGGGGATCAATGCTTATGCTCTTTTTGTGACATTTGAGCTGAGATCTGAAGGGTAGACAGGAGGTAGCCATGTGAGGATTTCAAGACACAGGGCCACATACCAAATGCAAAGGAATCATGACATCTGATTTGTTTTTACAAAAATCACTCCAGTTGCCATAGAGAGGATGGACAGGACTAGGGGTGAGGTGACTGGGAGAGGGATAAAAATAAGATAATGGAAATCATTAAGTTCCACTCAGTTGAATCTATAGGACTCACAGGTTGGGATGCTTTCTAGACTCTTTGAAATTCACAGTTGAATTCCTGAGAATAATAGGATAAATTTGGAAATCAACAACAAAAGAGTAATATTTAATGTTTAAGAGTGAATGATGACATCCTGTGAAAATCAAAAAAGTATAAACTATTAAGGACAGATGCCTGGAAATCCCCAAATATAAGAGAGGTGGGGAAATAAAGAGACCGAGTAGGAACAGCAGCATGGGAGAGAGTAGAAAGCCAGTAGGGCAGCAGGTAGGTGCCCAAAGAAAAGTTTTATGATAAGAGGTTGGGAAGGGTCATGAGGTCATCAATAGTGTCAGATGCTGCAGGAAGAGCAAGTAGGATAAAGGTGGGAAAGAGGCCTTTGGTTTTAACAATTACAGACCAGTTAGTGGTGAGAATCCTTTAAACAACCATCCCATGGTAGAATGTTACAATGTAGTACTACCACATCATACTAGACACTCTTAAAAAAGAACAAAGTAAATCTAAGTACACTATAATCATATAGGTAGATTACTAAAGCCTGAAAGCAAATGGGGTAACAGTGTAAATAGTCAAATTTATTGTTATCAATAGAAGCCCTCTTGGAAGCAAGATGCAGAGAAGTAGTGAGGGGTACAGGGAAAGGAGACACAGTTTGTACTGGCTCCTGTGGGGCTTAGATCTGATGAGTAATTGCTAAACTGCATGAGGGCCCATCAAAGTTGGAAATAATCAGTATAGGATGGAAGTGGCCCCTGCATATATGTCATTGTCTGCAGCATAACTTGAATAATTATATTAACCTCAAGTTGGGAATAAGCAGGCAAGTCAAGTTCAGAGAAAATTCAAGATGCTGATGGAAGGAAAGTCATATAAGATAGGGAGGGGAAAGGAAAGCTGGAGAGAGTAAAATAGAGAGCCCTTAAAGGTAGGGTGCAAAAAAAAATCAAAAGGAAGTTTTGGTACCAGTAGAGGAAAAGGGGATTAGGTAACAATAGCAAGCATTTATTGAGCACTCCCTAGTGCTTTTTTAAAAATATTTTTTAGTTATACCTGGGCACAATATCTTTATTTTGTTTATTTTTTATTATGTGGTGCTGAGGGTTGAACCCAGTGCTTCACATGTGTATGAGAGGCAAACGGTCTGTCTCTGAGCCATAAACCTAGCCCTCCCTGTGCACTTTTACTGTTTGTTATTCATTGAATCTTCACAAATCTGTGAGGTAGGTCCATTTTATGGAAGAAGAAATTGAGGTACTGAGAGAACATGGAAATATCAAGGTCATATAAGTAGTAAGTGGCAGAAGCAGAATTTGAACCAGCTTCAAATGCTATGCTGCATAGGAACCTATGATTCCAGGGGGGGATTTTAGAGTTGGGGATGCTCCTCAGTTCTGTGGGGCTATGTGAATGTGTTGCTAACATGGAATTAAGATGAAGTATCTTGATGTAGGGCAAGTGAGGAGCCACAAGCTGAGATAGTTGGAAAAATCATCAAGGTAAGTACTGGAGTAAATCATTGAAAGAGGTGTCCAGAAATGAGGTGGAAAAGAAAATTCTGAGTTGACATTCTGAGTTGAAATTTGGCAATGAATAGAACCAGATGATTTAAGCATGACAGAGTAATGTGTGCAAGAGAAGAGCATATTAAAGATTTAAGATAGCTCTTACCTATAAGTGGCTTTTTGTTAAGTTGGGCAGGTAGGAAATTAGTAGATTATTGATAACAAATAATATTATATACTAATTATTGAATAAGAGATATGTGTAAACCCTGAGCTGAGAAATTTTACTGGTCATCACTTGATCTGGAGTTAGTGAGGTCACTGAACTCCTGGTTGGTACATCTTTGTTACTTCTCAGAGAGAGAAAAGATCTTTTCTGCCCCACATTGCTTTGGGGGGTCAGGTTCTTAGATATTTTTGTTTTGGTTTGGTTTGATTTTTTTTTACCAAAGCATTATCAAAAGAGCCAGAGTTAGTACCTACACAGGTGCGCATGGTAGGAATACAAGTCTAAAATTTCTGTTTCTCCTACGGTTTGCCTTTTCTTCTTTCCTCTCCTTCTCCATGGGGACAGAGTGGCAAAACAAGGGGTAGGTACAGCTTTACTTGGTTGTGATAATTTACCTTTAAAGGCTGAACCCACTAGAGAAGAGGAAGGCCTGTGGAATACAAGGTATTATATGATCTATCAAAACTCTCTCATTCCTCTTGTGGCAGAACATAGCGTCCTTCATTTAGCACTGCTCCTACCCTTTGTTCTAGAAGTGTGGTTTTCAGGTGGGCTGTCCCTCATACTACACTACCCTTCCTGGCACCGAGCCTGGCCAACTGATGTTCCTGTCTGGGATTCTTTGAATCAGGGCTAAGGGATGAGACTTCTTTCTTCTTTGCTGGTGAGCCTGAAAACCAGTGTCAGTGGCCTGCAGGGGAGAGTAGGGTCAAGTGTGTGAGCTCAGAAGTGAACAGAGGCAGAGACTAGCTGCTTAGAGATGTTTCCAAACTATTTTCTCCCTGGGGAAAAATTAAACCTGCAAGAAATAATCTCAGGAGGAAAAAAAAAAAACAACAACACACTTTTAATGACTGGAAGAAAAGGGTTTCAGTGTACTTTCAAATGAGAACAAGAGAATCAGAATTAGTTCTGGGATTTGAATGCTGTATAAAATGACTCATTTAATGTGTTTGTCACTTCCCCAGCTTGGTGATATTTTGCCTCTTTGAACAGAGAAAGCATTGTGCTGAATAAACTTAGAGCATGTTATCTCTGGTACTGAAACTATTCAAGATTTCTTCTTGTGATTTTTAAAAAAGCAAATGAATTACATAATTATTAAGGTGCAGAGCAGCCTCCATTCCTCCACAATTCAACTTATTTGCAACACAATTAGCATGCACCTTAAATGTAACAAAGCATATACCAGTAATTCCTTCATCTCTCTTTGTCTTTAATCTCAACAATGAAAGCACCATTTCAGATTAATTGGGAATAATGGCCAATTGGGATTCTAGAATAGTTTTAGAGAAATCAATTTCTTCTACTTTAAGTTTACAGCTTTCACTAGGGTAATAAGACTTTGGCAAAGAGCTTTGAGTCACTTCATTATTTTTAATTATTTTTGGCACCTGACATATTGACTAATTTTTAAAATATTTACCAACTTTTAAAAGTGCTTTATTCATGCATCTTAATTATACATAATAATAGGATTCATTGTGACGTATTTCATACATGCACATGATTTGATCAATTTCATTTCCCAGGAATTTCCCCTTTCCCCTCTGCCTTCCTTCCTCTCCATCTCCTTCCTTTCCATACCCTTCCTGTATTCTACTAGTCTCCCTTCTATTCTCCTGAGACTCCTTTTTTTCTTTCTTTGTCTCAGCTTCCACAGATGGAACAAAACATTCAACTCTTGATTTTCTGAGTCACGCTTATTTTACTTAACATGACATTCTCTTGTCCCATCCATTTACCAGCAAATGACATAATGTATTTCTTCTCTATGGCTGAGTAAAACTCCATTTTCTTTATGCATTCATCTGTTGATGGACAGACACCTAAGCTGGCTCCATAACTTGGCTGTTGTGAATTGCACTGCTATAAACACTGGTGAGCATGTATCAGTATAGTATGATGATTTTAGTTCCTTTGGATAAATACCAAGGATTGGGGTTGCTGAATTATACTGTGATTCCATTCCCAATGTTCATAGGAATTTCCATACTGATTTTCATAGTGGTTGTACTAATTTGCAGTCTCACCAGCAATGTATAAGCGTCCCCACCCTCCTTGCCAGCATTTATTATTATTTGTATTCTTGATGATTTGAGGTACTACTATCAATAAACTAAACCATATAATTTGTAACTAAATAATTGATGTTTCTGTACATCTAAATGGTTAACATTTATTGCATAAGTACTATAAACCAAATACTGATATGTCTTATAACCATTATCTCTCTCATTTAATCCTCACAGTAGTCATATGATCAAGCATTGACTTCATCTTATAAATGAATGCATTGAAACTTAGAGATGTTAATATGCCCAAGGTCTTATGGCTAACAATTTTGACCCAGATATGTAGATTTTAAGTCTATGTTCTTGCCCTTTGTATTGTCTCTATGTTGTGGATTGCCATTATACTTTTTATGCATGGGTTTTATTTTGTCATTTTTTTTAATCATCTTTTCCCTTTTCTTGGCATTCTTATCTTTTCTGGCATCATTTGTTAAGCACTTGTTATATGTTAATAAATGTACTAGGTACTGTAAGTACTGTATTCTGTCTCTCTTCATTTTTGCCACCTCCCTGTCTACAGGTTTTATTGTGTCTTACTTAAAGGAGAGGGAATTTGGGTCTCAGATAGAGTAAGTAATTTCCCTAACATCACAGTAGTAAGAGACATGAAATGATAAACTCTTAAAATTTGAGCGCAAGTCTGCTAGGATAATGACGTATGTTTTAAACAGAGCACTCCAGCTGCCACGTGGAGGGCCTGTAAGAGGAGCAGGAGTAGAGTTTTCCCTGAGATTCCTTCGGAGCAGAGGGCAGCAAAGGATTTGCACGGTAAAAATAATGAACTCAGAAGACCCCTTGTTAATATTCTCACTAATGGCAGGGCTAACGGAAGTGGAGTAGGTAATGTGTGTGTTCTAGAAGGGCAGCTAGAAATGTTTATATGTTCTCCAGTGGGCATGGTGCTCCTCAGGGTCCTTGGATGGTCTTTACTGTGGCCTGACAGAGGCTCTTCTGGAGGCTGGAGGTCTCTCAAGTGCAGCTGTTAGGCCACACTCTGACTAGCTGGTATGGTGTCAGAGGTTATAGAAGCCCAAGGAACCCTCAGGGTGAAAGCCAATTTGTTGGCAGAAGAAGAGCAAATGCGATGCTTTTCAAGTATGCAGAGGACACCCACGCTTTGGCCATGGTTCTGCTAATGGATATGATAGATATGACTCTCCAGAGCCTTGAACAGTGGTGCTGTTCATTGCAAGGAGACAAACCGAGAGCTGGGGCTGAAGTTCAGATAGATGGGTAGCACATGGGTAGAGATGATCATTCATTCACTCATTGAGCATTTTTGAGCACTTACCATATTCCAGGTCAGTGTTCTGGGCACTAGGGATTGAGCAAAGAATAAGATGACGTCTCTGCCAGAAGGAGCTCACATTCCAGTAAGAAGGGTCAAAGCAGAACACACACACACACACACACACACACACACACAAGTCACATCCATTGGTAATAAATGCTATGAAGGAAAGTAAAACTGGATAAGAAGAACACAGAGATGGGTGGAGAGGGAGGGGTGTCATTTTATATACACGGTCAGGGAAGGCTTCTCTGTTGAGGTGGCACTGAATGAAGACTTGGAAGAAGTAAAGGGCAGCCATGTGGACAGTTAGTGGAAGTGTATTGTAGACAACAGAAATAGCAGATGCAAAGTTCTTGAGGCAGGAACGTGCTTGGCAGATTGAAAGATCAGCAAGGAGAACAATGGTTGAAGTAGGATGAAGGAGGAAGAAAGGGTAGGGGGACACATCAGAAAGAGAGACTCATATGGACCACGGCAAGGACTTTGGATTTTACTCCAAGTGAAATGATAAACTCTTAAAATTTGAGCACAAGTCTGTTAGGATAATGATGTATATTTTAAACAGCACTCCAGCTGCCACGTGGAGGGCCTGCAAGGGGAGCAGGAAGACTAGTTTAGCAGCTACTGCAGTCGTCTGGGAAGAAATGACAGTGGCATGGACCAGGATGGGTGTGGAGGGATTGCAGCAGAGGTGCTCAGGACTGGTCCTGCTTAAATTCTGAAGGAATTGAAGATAAACTCTGCTAATGGGTTACGCTAGGGGGATGGAAGAAAAGAATTGGGGACAATTTCAAGGTTTTGGTCTGAGCAAGAGGAAGAATGAGCTAGTCTTTACTGAAACAGGGGAGGGATAAGTAGCCAGAGTTTGGTTTGCCTGGCAATTCAGAAACCAGAACCGGAAGGGGAGTGTGTGGGGGCTGGACCTTGAGTCCCCTTCCAGAACCTCAGCAAAGGAGAACTGGATTTGAGTCCTGCATGAGAAGAAGGTAGAAATCAGGCAGTGTCCTAAAGAGGGAATGAATGGACTCTAAACCAACAGCAGATTGGATGGAGTGAGGGCCAGGATGGAAGGGGCAAGAATGTTCTCCATGGATCTTTGTTGGAGCTTTTGTTAGAGCAGAGGGCTGCAAGGGGTACCAGGAATTTGAGAAAGAAGATCAAAGGATGGGAACAGTCAGCAAGGCCGCCAGGAAGAAGTGGGAGCTGACCTGAAGTTCTCAGGAAGGAGATGAGTTTGCAATATAGAGGTAGAAAGGGTACAGAGTGCAGGACTGACTGAGCTGGGAAGAATCACGACTGAACACCTGTCTGAGGATGGAATGGGTGCAGGGAGTTGGGTGGAAAGCTGGGTTGCGTCTGCATTATGAAGGGCTTTGAAAGCCGATAGCTGGACAGAGGAATCTGGTGAAAGCATACAGGAGAAAGAACAAGAAGCCAGATACAGCGTATTTGAGTATTTAATAGTTTGAGTATATAATGCATTCATTATTGCATCCTTTCTAAATGATCTGAAGGTTAAAGTAACTCTACTTGTACCTTCATTTTCTCCTCCATCTCTATCATTCTGACCATGAAACTTGCACATTGAGTCCTAAGCAAGGTAAAGACTTGTTATCAGTCTTTCTACAGATGGGCCAATTCCCATCACATTCCCAGTAGGGACTGACTTAGGTTCCGTTCCTACCCTAGTACATCTTTTTAAATCTTTACTATATTGACTGGACCAGTCAAAATTTGGATCCACTCTTAATGTCAGGAGAAATATACTATTTATAGGTGACCTTTCGCACCTTTCCTTATAAAAATATAAGGCATTGACAATGAGTAGAAATGCAGTGAGATATATCTTTATATAAGAATGTATCATAATAATACTGTGTGTGTATATGTACACACACACACACATACACACACGTATATAGCAAGTTGGAGACTAAAACAGGAGGATCAGAGGTTTTAGGCCAGCCCTAACAACTTAGTAAGGCCCTGTCTCAAAAATTAAAAATGGTTGGGGATATAGTTCAGTGGAAAAGTATATCTGTTTTCAATCCCCAATATTAAAAATTGTTATATTTTTATAAGTTGAGTGTGTGTGTGTGTGTGTGTGTGTGTGTATATATATATTTCATTCTTTTTTTTTTTTTACAGTGCTAGGGATCAAACCCAGAGCCTCATACATGCTAGGCAAGCACTATATCACTGAGCTACACTCATAGTACTTACACATACCTACTTTTTTCTGAATAATGCTATCAGGCTAGCTATAAGACATCAAGTTTATGTTTTTATTGTATGATGCGAATATTTGGGAATGGAGCACTCTTTTCATTTTAGCAGTAAACAAATGACCCTTCCCCACTCACTTTTTCAGAATTTGAAAGAACATAATTTCATGCAACATTGAGATCTGTAGATCTATCTTTTGTGTTCAGTACGATTTTGATGTTAAATGAAAAATTTATTGCTCTTGCTATTTATTTATGTTTTTTAATCTAATGAAAAATACCATAACCAAAATAATTTAATTACAGATTACAGACAGCTGGCCAGGGTACGACTTAGATTTGTTCACATACCCACAGCACTATTACGGAGATTTGGAATATGTACTCATACCCCATGGCATCATTGTGGACAGGTGAGTGGTATATTTTTGTGTCAACCTTGGTCTTGTGCTTGGCTGGCTCGGTCTTAAAAAAAAGTGAAAGTGAGAGTCCTGGTGTTTGTAAAGCACTCTCTGGAATCCTAGAGATTATTTAGAGGCCCAGATTTCAAATGGGAAGGCAGTGGGGGAGTAGGAGCAAATTGAGACTTTGGGATCCCACACGTACCCTTTCCTCAAGTCGTGTAGTGTAGTTCCTCTGCCTCTAGTTCTTTAATCTGTTATGAGTTAAAATTTAACTTTATGAACTAAGTACTCAGAACAAAACAAAGTTTGAAAAACACCAAATGGTCACCTTACCAGGATATTATCTTTCCACCAATCCTGTCAGTAAGCAAACAAAAGTCTCATTCCTTAGTCCAAATTCTAAGATTGTGTGTTACATAAGATTTGTATTTTGCTTCTTCTCCCAACTTATAATATATTATTAAAATAAGTTCTAGTTTCGGGTTTCTCATGGCCTCAGATGACTTTTTCATAGACTATAAGCCTGATTCTCCTAGGGGAGAAAAGTTCCATGATCATATAAGCTTGGGAAATTTTGCATTTCCCAGCTTGGTAAATCTCCCAGTTGGCACTTGAAAACAAACATTAGCTTATTAAAATACAGAAAATGGCAGGGAGGGACCTGCTTAACTTAAGAAATTAAATCAATTTTATTTATGTAGAGGGAGACTTTATATTGTTCACCTCTTTGTAACTTCTGAGAAAAGATTTCTCTTAACAGCATTTTGGGAGGCCCCTAGTTTAAACAAATTCTTGCTTTTCTTACTTGAATTTTATGAATTTTGTTAATTGCATCCAGATCTAAAACATGATTTAATACAGGATAAAGTGACCCTGGGCCTTCTCCTTGTATAGAATTATTCAGTGAACATGTTTTTATGTCTAGAAACCCTGAATCAATAGTCTGGGTTGGGGACCAGGAATGTCCATTCTTAATTTTAAAATAAACATTAAGGTAATATTTACATACTACAAAATTCAGGTTGATGAATGATTTGATGATTTTAGGAAACTTTTTTTTGAGGGGGGTGGGTACAGGGGATTGAACTCAGGGGCAGTCAACCACTAAGCCACATCATCAACCTTATTTTGTATTTTATTTAGAGACAGGGTCTCACTGAGTTGCTTAGTGCCTCACTACATTGCTGAGGCTGGCTTTGAACTTGCGATCCTCCTGCCTCAGCCTCCTGAGCTGCTGGAATTACATGCATGTGCCACGGTGTCTGGCACTTGGTTTTATTTTTAAGGCCAGCTTACCAGGTTTACCCCTGTGTTTAAATAGGACAGTGTTCAGTCTGCAAGTGGTTAGAAGACTTAGAGACAGGAAGGCTCCTCTCTGTTGTTGGATGTATCTGTGGCTGGCCAATATGTTCAAGTTTCCAATCAACCTTTTTCAAGTCTTCCCTGGTTTTTACTCCCGCCCTTCATGCCCACCCCTAGCTGTCTTCCATCTCCTCCTCACATACATGCAAGCCTCCATCATTCAAGGATGTATATATGCAGCCTCTGGTCAACTTGACATATATGAAGAAATAATGGTGTACCCCTTCCCTGTGACTCCAGTCATCAGATCCCAACTACTTGGCCAGTTTGTTACATAATTGTGACTGCAACTTCAGGGTAATGGAGCCATGCTCTTGAAGTGGCCAGGTAAGCTTACAGGGTTCCCAGTCAGGTGAATTCCCTGTGGCAGAATCCTATGCTGGTTGAACAACATGGGTAAACAGCTGGGGTGGGAGTTGTGGCGTGATGGGCATCCCCAGGTAAGAATGCCACTGACTTCTCTCCAGAATTCAGTGTTTTCATGATTAAGTGTCTACTTTGTTATATGCCTTTGGTTGATTTCCAGAGTGCTAAAATGGCTGTTTTTGAATTTTGTCCAGCTTTGTTTGTTTGTAGACAAGATGTTGACCCTCTTATTCCACCATGCAGGAAAAAATGTCCCTTTATAAGGAACATGTCAGATATTCTGATATGAATTCTTTGATGATCATATTTTGAGAAACATTGCCTGAAACTATGGTTACCATACTCTCTCTATATATATACATACACACATACCATATAAAATAGATTATGATATATATATATTAAGTGTATATTGAATACATGTAATACAGTATTTTATGTGTGTGTGTGTGTGTGTGTGTGTGTGTGTGTGTGTGTGTGTATATATATATATATATATAAAATCTAGTTATCTATTTAATCTAATTCTATTTGTTTGGAGTGCCAAAGGGAATATTTTTTAAAGTATGTATCTTAGATCCTGTCTTCATTTAGATTTTGATGTTATATGGCCCATGGGCAATACACTTATAGACAACTAGAAACAAACACAAGAACAGTTCCAACCAGCTCTAAGTAGCAGACCAAGGCTGCGGCTATTGCACAACTCCAGGGGGCATCCTTAGCATTGTGCTCCCTGGAAACACTGCCTGTGGTGTTGCATTCTGGAGCACCTTTCACATAGGCCATGTGCTACCTCTGTTGAATTACGAGACACTTTACAATGGGCTTGACTTTTCCTCCAGTCTCCTGTAATCTAAGGCGAGTGAGTCACTCTCTGTTTCCTTTTCCTCTGCTATAAAGTGAGCACGTCATCAGATACCATCATACATTGTTAACAACTAGGCACTGGAGTGATAAAATATTAGCATACATGTCCTTTGACATTGTACTTTACACCTTAATAATTTTTGTGACATGAGGAATCAAGAATGTGCCATTAATGATGCAGCTATCAGAAGTATGTCTCGAACAGTCTGTGTCCATCTTTAACAAAGCCTTTCTGTCTGTAGGTTTGTGTTCCCCAAATTTTTCCTCACAGTCCCCTGAATAACCTAATATAAATAATACATCATGCATTTTTATTAAAGGAACAAAAATACTCAGAAATGGTTGCACTTTAATATGTCTTTTATCCCTTACTGCTTTCAGAATTGAGCGGCTGGCAAAGGATATAATGAAAGACATTGGATACTGCGACATTATGGTCCTGTGTGTACTTAAAGGTGGTTACAAATTCTGTGCTGATCTTGTAGAACACCTTAAGAACATCAGCCGAAATTCAGATCGGTTTGTCTCTATGAAGGTTGATTTCATCAGACTAAAAAGTTACAAGGTAAGTTACTAGAGGTTCCATTTTTATCACATGATATTTAAAACTAATAATGTCAGCATAAAAGTACTAATAAAGTCATGAAAATGTGTACTTTTTTAAAAATTGAAGTGAAAATGAAGAGTGGATTTTTTTTTTTTTTAATTTGCAAGAGTACCACAATCTATTATGAGGATTCAAATTATACTATTTGGGCGAAGAAAAATAAAACTTCCTGTTTTCACATATGCAGATAGACTCTTGAGGAATGATTCATGCATTTTTTTATGGTGATGAAGCTCAAGTAGTTATTTCCTGGTGCCCAGCCTCAGAACTGTGTATGGCTAGTGTTAAGAAAGTCCAGTGAATGCTGATGTCCTTCTACCCTGGATGTGCTCTTGGTCCTGGAGACCTATGGGAGGGTGTCCAGCCCAGAGGGAGACATAGTACTTGAGTTTCTGCAGTCATCAAGTGGTGACCTTTATAGAAGGGAAGCCTGTAGGGACAGCACATTATCAAGTGTGAGGAGACCAAGCCAAGGAACCTCGAGTGGAAGACTGCTCCACCAATTTATGATGGGCTTTCTGGTGCCACCACTAGACAGAACTTACATGAATTATTCTCCAAGACATGGTCTCCTTAGTCTTCTCTTTATGATGTTAACTTTTGTGATGCTTTTTGATTCAATGCATAGTAAATCATTCAAACTAACTTACTACTGATTGAAGGTCTCTTGGGGTCAAAATCATGAAAATATTCTCATTGACTAACAACATTTTAATTCATTAAATGACTTTCTGAGTTGGCTTTCTATTTATATAACAAAATCACCATGAACTTAACCCACACAAGTTTATTGTCTTGCAGTTTCTCTGGGCCAGAGGTCTGGGTTCTCTGCCCAGTCTTACTGGGTGGGAGTCAGAGTGTTAGCTCAGGTTTTGATCATCTGAGGGTTGTGGTCATTTTTCCAAAAGCACTGTTGTTAGAATTTAGTGCCCATTTAGAATTTAGCACCTCTCAGTGCTTCTAGAAGCTGCCATCAGGTCTTTGCTTCATGGATTCCTCCAAAGGCAGTTCACAACACAGTTAAGGTAACTTTTGCTTCTTCAAGCTGGATGGGGAAAATCTCCATTCAGGAAGGGCGCAGCCTTTTTTTTTTAAAGCTTGCCCGATTAGGTCATGTTCACCTAGCATAATCCAAATTTTCTTTAACTTTTTTTATAACTTTATCTTATTTATTTATTTTTATGTGGTGCTGAGGATCTAACCCAGTGCCTCACCCATACTAGGCACGTGTTCTACCAATGATCTACAGCCCCAACCCCATAATCTACTTTCTGAGAAATTCAAAGTTAATTAACTAGTCATCTGATCTTGGGAGTGATTTCTTGCCATATTTATAAGTTTGACTTACACTTAGGTAACAAGGATTATTCAGAATATGCACACCAAGGCTCAGCAGTGCTAAAGACCATCTTTAGCTTACCTCACTCTTCTTATGACTCAGTTGCCTCAGGTCTAAAACAGCTGCAAATTCTCCTCATTTTTCAGGATATACACTCTACTTCCTGATGACCTCTCTGGCCAGGGTGAAGCTCATTTGTTGCAAATATTGGTTCCATCCTGCCTTGAAAAGTTTTTCTCTCTTTAGTTTCCCTACATCTTGGATTAAGTAGGTGTGCTCCCTTCTTATGAGATTTTTTTTAATCTCATTCATTTGCCTGATCCTCATTGCACATGTTCCTGATAAACAGCTCTTTTAAAATGTATTGATTTGTCTTACAGTAGAATGCATTTTGACATATTGTACACAAGTGGAGCACAACTTCTTATTCCTCTGGCTGTACATGGTGCAGAGTCACTCCAGTAGTATAACCATACATGTATACAGGGTAATAATATCTGTCTCTTTCTACTGTTCTTCCCATCCTCACAGCCCCACCCCTCCCCTCACTCCCCTCTGCACAAACCAAAGTTCCTTCATTCTTCCCTCCCCCTTCCCCACTATGGATCAGCATCTACTTATCAGAGAAAACATTGGCTTTTTTTGGGGGCGGGGGGATTGGCATATTTTATTTAGCATAATATTCTCTAGTTTCATCCATTTATTTGCAAATGCCATAATTTCATTCTTCTTTAAGGCTGGGTAATATTCCATTGTGTATATTACCACATTTTCTTTAACCATTCATCTGTTGAAGGGCATCTCAGTTGGTTCCAAAGTTTAGCTATTGTGAATTGAGCTACTATAAACATGATGTGGCTGTGGCATTGTAGTATGTTGATTTTAAGTCCTATGGGTATAAACTGAGGAGTGGAATATCGAAGTCAAATGGTGGTTCCATTCCAAGTTTTCTAAGGAATTTCCATACTGCTTTCCAGAGTGGTTGCACCAATTTGCAGTTCTACAGGCAATGTATGTGTATACCTTTTTCCCCACATTCCGCCAACATTTATTGTTGCCTGTTTTCTTGATGATTGCCATTCTGACAGAAGTAAGATGAAATCTTAGAGTCGTTTTGGCTTGCATTTCTCTAATTGCTATAGATGATAATCATTTTTTCATATGTTTGTTGATCTATTGTATTTCTTTTCTGTGAAGTGTCTGATCAGTTCCTTAGCCTATTTACTGAGTGGGTTATTTATTTTTTTGGTGTTAAGTTTTTTGAGTTCTTTATATATCCAGGAGATTAGTGCTGATAAACAGCTCTTTAAAAACCTGGTAAAATATTTTTTTAAATGAAAAATCAAGTTTATTGAGGTTTGATTTACATATAGTGACATTCATACCTTTTAGTTTACAGTTCTGTGAGTTTCAAGAAAATGTAGTCATGTTAATCTTGATAACCAAGGTGTGGGACTGTTCCTTACCACAAGAAATGCCCTGGCCTTTGTAGCCAGCCTCTCCCATAACTCCCAGACCCTGGCAACCACTGAAGTGTTTTCTGTCCTAGAGTTTTCTTTCTATAATGTCATGTGCATTATACCTCATAGTCTAGTAATTCTGTTAATCTTAATATAATGCTTTTGAGATTCATCCACATTGCGTGTATCAGCAGTTCATTTGTTTTTATTGTTAAGTAAGTTTCCATTGCATGGATATAGTGGGTTTTTTTTAATCCATTCATTTACCAGAAGGATACATGGGGTGATTATGAACAAAGCTGTTGTAAGTGTTCACTTGAAGGTTTTTTGTGTATATTTATGTCTTCTTTTTCCTTGAATAAATATTGAGTGGCAAAACAGGTAAGTCATATGAAATTTCCAAACATTTTTCCAAAGTGAGTGAATACTTTTGCATTCCCTTCAGCAACCTGTAAGTTCCAATTGCTCCACATTATGACAGCATTTAGTATTATTACTTTTTCTTTCTTTTATTTTACCTATTTGAATAGGTGCTAGCATCTCATATGGTTTTAATTTACATTAAAATGAATAATGATGAATGAATAATGATGAATATATTTTCATGAGATTATTTTCTATTCATATAGCTTTTTATGAAATGTTTGTCCAAATATCTTGTCCATTTTAAAAAATGAGTTGTTTTTCATTATCAAGGTTTGAAAGTTCTTTATGTACTTTGTGAATCCTGTATTAGATATGTGTTTTGAATGTATTTTCCACTCAGTGAGATTTTTTTTTTTGTACCAATAAAACCATTTGATGTGGAGTTTTCTTTGTCAGATGTTTTTTAAACTAGGAATTCAATTTTTTAAAATTGATATAGGAGTATTCAATTTATTTTTCTTCTCCAGTGAACTTTAATAGTTTGTTTCTTCCAAGGTATTTGTCCATTTTATCTAAGTTTTCACATTTAAGGGCATGGAGTTGCTTATAATATTTCTGTATTACCTTTTGATGTCTTTAAGGTCTGTAGTGATATCTTTCATTCCTGATATTATTAAATCATACCTTCTGTCTTTTGCTTTTTCTTCACTAATATGCCTAGAGGTTTGACAATTTTTATCAACTTATGGCTTTTACCTTATTTTTTTTCCAGTTCATTCAATTTATGTTTTTTTTAACCACTTTAGCATTTATCCTATTATTTCCCTCCTTCTGTTTGCTTTGGGATTAATTTGCCTTTATGCTCCTAGATGTTAGCTTAGTTCAGAGATTTGAGACCTTTCTTATTTTCTAACATAAATATGTAATGCTATAGATTTTCCTTAAGTCCATTTTATCTATCTCCCACTTATTTTGACATATTATTTTTTTCATTCCACTCAAATATTTTCTATTTCCTTTGTGATTTTCTCTTTCACTCATGGGTTATTTCATGTTGTTTAATTTTTCAAACATGATTTTTCAGAATTTCTCTATTTTTCTAGCTTAATTCTGTCACATAAATTTATACTATACTTTATTAGATTTCAATCCTTTTGAATTTGTTAAGGCTTATTCTATGGCCTTGAATATAGTTGATCCTGCTGAAACTAGTAGCACCATACTCCATGTCAAATTAAACTATATTGCTTTTTCTAATTTTTTCATGCCTTTTCATTGTCTGCTTCTTTAAACAACCTCTCTTTATTTTACCTTCACCTACAGGCACACATTCTAATGCTTATGTACCCTGTTAACTCAGGTGTATGTGATACTAGTTCAGAATAAACTTTTGTATTTCTAAAACTCCAGGGACATTGTGATCATCATTGCTATGTCTAGACAGATATTTTCAAATCACCATTTTTTTTCCTGGAGCTAGGGATGTCGGGGTTCCTACTCAGGGTTCTGGGGGGAAGAGGATGGCAATAGTTGTCATCAAATCTTTGCTGCCTTCATCCAGTCTCACTCACTGTAGACCTTAGCCTTTGTCCCACACCTTTAGTCTTTTAGGACCCAAGGATGATTGTGACATCTCTTCCCTTCTTATCAAATATTTCTCCTCTTGTGTGTCACCAGAGTGACTCAGATCATATTCTGAATGATTATCTTATGTAAAACACTGCCTGGCTGCTCACTCAGATGAGCCTTCCCCCTAATTAAATATGTTCAGAAATGAATGGGAAGCTCAGATT